TGCTTGCATTTTTTCAACAACATCCATATATCTTTCTTTCTTCTAAAATTCAAAGAGTAGAAAAGAAATTTCAGCTATATGTACTAAAGCCATAGCAATAGTAGGGTAATATGCTCCAGAAAACTCAATAGTAGCTGTATAAAATTTAGGCTGAATATATATATGGAGACACTTAAAGTTGGCACCAAATTTCACTTAGACACCTCAACCCAGGCTTGTTCCTATTGACCACTGGAACTCCATATAAAGTATGCCTATCAAACACAAATTTGATAATTCCAAACCAACACTAATACGTGAATCTCACTCTCTTTTAAAATGGAAGACCAAACCAATAAAAAAATTACATGTCAGCAAAATTAAAATAGGCAATATTAAAAATAGTCTGACCCAAAATAGAAAGAGAAAAACAGAGCAGATGGCCGAGAATACCGTCACCGGCAAAATCTGCTATCAACCAACTTTAGCTTCAACACATCTAAAATGAAAGCTTTTTTGCATTCAAATCTTGATGAATGACATCCCATGGCAGGTTGTCATTAACTTGTCTGTTAATCCTTCATTTGCTTCCATTCCTCTTTCAAAAAAAAAAAAAAACTTTTACCTAGATTAAAATGTGGTTGTGGTGGTGGGCGCCTAGATCTGATAAAGGGGAGGAAATAGCAGTGATAATGGTTAGGTTTGATAAAGAAAAAGGCAGTGATGGTAGTTATCCGACTTGAAGAAGGCGGTGATGGTGATGATGTAGTAGCAACGCCGAATCTGAAAACGAAAAAGATAGTTGTGATGTTGGTGGTCGGATTTGAAGGAGAAGGAGGTGATGATGATGGTGGCAATGGTCGAATCTAAAGGAGCAAGAAGAGCCAGTGATTAAGGTGATCGCCGGCCAGATCTGAAAAAAGAAAGTAAGTGGTGCAGATGGCCAGAGAAGAAGAAAATAGGTTAAAAATCGTTTAGTAAAAGGTAACTGCCGGAGATTAATTTTCCGGCCAAAAACTATGCATTTGCCGGTGAACAATATACAAGATTAGCTTTTCACGCGCTTATATCAGGTGAAATTCACTTTATGTGTCAACTCAGCAAGAAGTGCTTAATTGGAACAAAGTTCATCTAATGTACGTGCTCATTAGGAACACCCCTAAGTTTAGGTGTCTAAATGAAAAATCGTGTCAACTTTAAGTGTCTCCGTATGTATTCAGCCTAAAATTTATGTAAAAATTTAACAACATCATTAATGACCTCCCAAGTAGTAGTTGTTAACATACGGTTTGGATCAGTATAATGCGCATTAGCAGCTTCAGTTATTGGGAACTATATTTGTAGCAACATTTTAAAAATATATATGTATAATTCCATCTAGTAACAATTTCGTCTGGCATGAATCTGGGTTCAAGGTTATACTGGATATACTTATTCTTAAATTCTTTTATTCTAGATTGTCTATTATATCCTTGAATAACACCAACTGCTTTTCTAACATGAGTAATCTCAGTTGAAATTAAATCAAGGCCACTTTTAACAATTAAATTATAAACATGACATGCACACCTAACATGAAAAATTTCATCAAGTGGTGGTTGCAAATGCAGTTTTAATATTGAAATTGCGGCATTATTGTTAGAAGCATTATCAAAAGACATACACAATACTTTTTGCTTGAGATATAAAATTCAACAATTTCACAATTAGTAGTACTTATAAACGCAGCAGTATGACTTTGATCTTCATCATATTTAAAAGCGATAATACGTTTTTGCATACAATAACCATCATCAATCCAATGACATGTAATTGTAAAATAATCATTTTCATTAACAGCATGGCCAATATCAACAGTTAGAGAAACTCTACAAGGAAGGTGGCTAAACAAATAACGTATGTATGTTTGATATTGTTCGTGAAGTCTAAAGATATCAGATCTACAAGTACTTCTAGGGATACCTTTAAATAAAGGATTGTAAATCCTTTGAATATACATAGTAAGATATGATGAAGAAGCAAAAGAAAAAGGTAGACAACCCAAAGCAATCATTTTTGCTAACTCTTCATGATCCTTCATTTTATCATATTTCATAAGAACTCCAGTAGTAGGGTTTAGAGTTGCTTGATTTCCATCTCCATCAGAGCCTCATTCTATAGGATGCTCAATTCTCATATGTCTACTAAGTGTCCCGGTCCCCCCTAATTGTCCTCCAGTCTTATGTTTAAAAGTATCATTACAAAGTTTGCATTTAACTCTATCACTATTCGGTATGTCTTCAAAAAAATTTCAAACCTTACTTCTTTTTCTACGATTACTAGTCGAGGCCACAGGTGGTCTACTACTAGCACCACGACCACCACCCTATTACCAGCTCCAACACTACTAGGTGTAAGTGGTATCTCATCTTCCATTTCTAATTCATTATCTTCTATACCGAAATCTTCCTGAAATTGTTCATAATCTATATTATTATCAGGTTGTGACGACTCGACCTGTCGTCCCGTGAGAACCGCTTCGTTTCCCCCATTTCCTGCTTCGTTATGCTTCATTATCAGTGTCTTGTGTGAACGAGTTGAATTGGGTTGATTTTTGGAAGGAAATAAGACACTTAGTCTCTTTAAGGAGGGCTTGTTTTGGAAAAGTCAACCGGATGTTGACCTATGAGTTAGAGGGCTCGGATGTGGATTCCGACAATTCGGTTAGCTTTGGGGGATTATTTGTGACTTAGGAGTGTGATCGGAAGTGATTTTGGAGGTCCGGTGTAGAATTAGGCTTGAATTGGCGAAGTTAGTATTTTGGCGAATTTCGGTTGATAGGTGAGATTTTGATCCGAGGGTCGAAATGGAATTCCGAGAGTTGCTGTAGCTTCGCTAGGTGATTTGGGATGTGTGTGCAAAATTTCAGGTTATTCGGAGGTGATTTGGTTGGGGTTTTGATCAAATGCGTGTTTCGAAAGTTTTAGAAGAACTTAGGCTTGAATCCGATGTAAATTTGGTGTTTTGATGTTAGTTTTGGTGTTTTGAGAGTGCAACTAAGTTTGAATGATCATATGTGACGTGTTAGTATGTTCGTATGCGGTCCCGAGGAGCTCGGGTGAGTTTCGGATAGGATTGGGCTGCGTTGTGCTCAGGGGCGGACCTACGCTTGGGGGTGGGAGGCACGGGCACCCGTTGGCCTCGGTAAAAATATTGTATATATATTCTATATATATATAAGTTAATACAGGAAGGACCCCTATAAATATATTATGCGGCACCCTTAGTCACAAAGATTGGATAGAAGAGTTGGTTTGTGGGAGTAGTTGGCTTCTTCAAGACTCAGGTTCGAATCTTAGGTCCAACAATCAAAATAATTTTTTTGATTGGGTCTCATTTGGTCAGGCCTTTAATTTAACGCATACTAGTACCCTTTTTGCACACGCCTACTAGTACCCTTTTCTCTCTCTTTGACATAAGGTTCTTCTAAACCCAAAACAAATTTCAACGCCTACTCCCTTTTCTCTCTCTTTGACATCAGTTCTTTCTTCTAAACCCAAACCAAAACAAATTTCATCCTTCACCTGTTCACCATCACGGCATCACACGTTTCTTTATTCAGGGATTAAGGCATGAAGCAGCTGCCGAATCTTTTTCTGGGTAAGATTTTAAAAATTATACTTGGAATTCTCCATCTTGTTTCCACTTTTCTAATGGTAAATTTCAGTTTCTAAGTTAGGGTTTAAAAAAATCCCTTTTAAAATACGATTGAGAAGGGGCTTAACTAGAAGGTTTTGCTTGCCTCTTATTTGTGTCTTGTTCTCACTTTTGGCTATTCTATTTTGATTGAATCTCTGAATTTTCTGTAATTATTCTTGATTTTATTGAGGCTAGTAAAGCCTTTGATTTAGGCCCCAAAAATTTTAAGGCCCCAAAAGGTGTACTTCTTTTAGTTTTTGAATTTATTATTTGTTCGACTCTCAAAAAATTAGAAACGGTGAGCTCTTTGATGTAACTGCTTAAAATGCTATCTCTTTCAAAGTTGACATAGATTTTTGTAATCTTATACTACTTCACTTGTTAAATGTTAAGTTATTCGATTGAACTAATTAACCTTTGTCACTGAGCACTGGACACTTTTTGAGTTGCTGATTAATAGTTAACAAAACCCTTTATTGGTACAAACGGAACCAATGTTCACTTATTAGTTTGCTGTTTCTTTTTACTCCTCAGAAAGTTTGGTTGATTAATCATATTAAAAATATTATTTTGCTTGGCATTGTTGCTTTGTAGGAAGTTCTCTTGATGTGAATTGAGATGGACAAATTTTTGATGAGGTTTAATTCTCCTCAACCAAGTTCTAGTTTTAGAGACAATTCCTCCCATCTTGTCGAAGAGTTTGATGTGAAATCACTTAATACCGACCCCGGAGAGAGAATACCCATTGATAGATATAGCCCTAGAATACGGGATGAAGTGAGAAGACACTACATCCAAAGAGGGCCCTGCCAACCAGATCACAAATTTCCTAAAACTTTATTTGGGAAGAAAATGCGCCAATTTAGTTCGGGTTGGTTTAGAGGTTCGCATTCTAGATGGTTAGAGTATAGTGTGAAGAAAGATGCCGTATTTTGTTTATGTTGTTATTTATTCAAAAATGATTACGTTAATGGAAGCACGGGTGACTCTTTCACAAAAACCGGCTTTAAGGGTTGGAATAAAGCAACCGAAAGATTTGATCTACATGTTGGTGAAGTAAGTAATCTCCACCATAAGTGCTTCAACAATATGTTAGCCTTGTCAAATCAATCTCAATCAATTCAAGCTGCTTTTGATTGGCCATTCGGTCAACCTTTAATTGAATCTTAATTCGTTTAAATTTATAAATTCATGCCTATCCATTTTCTCTCTCTTGGACTTTGGATTACTTTTTCTGGTCACGATGAAAGTGAATGTTTAAAAATACAAGCCTTCTGGCTTTTGTCTGTCTTTGACATAGGTTATTTGTTCTAAACTTAAAACATGCTCCAAAAAATGATATGATGACTTCGCCAAAAATTCAAAAGGATATTGTGAGTGCTTGTGCACAAGAGACCGTGAAAGCTATAATTGATGACTTGGATGGAGATTATTTTGGGATATTAGCTGATGAGTCCAAGGATATTTCACACCATGAACAAATGGCCCTTGCTTTGCGGTATGTTGACAAAAAAGGCCAAGTGAACGAGCCATTTATTAGTCTTGTTCGTGTTAGTGATACATCTGCAAAGTCGTTGAAAGAAGCAGTACTTTCTTTGCTAATGAAACACTCATTAAGTCCATCCAAAATACGTGGACAAGGCTATGATGGGGCTAGTAATATGCAGGGAAAGATGAATGGCCTTAAAGCTTAATTTTGCAAGAAACTCCATGGGCATATTCTGTTCATTGTTTTGCACATCAATTACAATTGACGCTTGTAGCTGTTGCTAAAAAACACAAGGAGGTTGAGACTTTCTTTGCTATTGTTACTAACGTGTTGAATATAATTGGAGTTTCTTTTAAGCGTAGAGATCAACTTCGGGATCATCAAGCAGAATTGTTGGAGCAATTGTTAGAGAGTGGTGAAGTTCAAAGTGGCAAAGGATTAAATCAAGAGCAGGGGCTTCAAAGGCCAGGTGACACTCGATGGGGATCACATTGTAAAATATTGGATAACTTTGTTATTTTAGTTTCTTCTATTGTTCATGTGCTTGGGGTGATTGAATGTGAAGGTGATGTTAATGATAGGTTGCAAGCAGAAGTTTTTTCTAGTAAAATTAAAGAATTTGAATTTGTGTTCTTGCTTCACTTAATGTTGAAAGTATTAATAATGTCAAACGAGTTGAGCAAAGCATTACAGACGAAAGATCAAGATATTGTCAATGCCATGGTATTTCTTGATATCACAAAGGAAAGGTTGCAAGGAATGAGAGATAAAGGATGGGAACCATTGATGGATGAAGTATATTTATTTTGTGCAAAACATGATATTTTGGTGCCCAAGATGGAAGAATTCTATATTCCTGGAAAGTCGAAGCATAGGCCTTCTAGTGTTACTTATTCACATCACTTACGTGTTGAGCTTTTTTATGCCGTGATTGATTTGCAACTTCTGGAGCTTAATAGTCGTTTTGATGTTGTGAGTAGTAACTTGCTTCTTGGTATGGCTAGCTTGAATCCGGCTAACTCATTTGCTAATTTTGATAAGGAAAGAATAATGACATTGGCCAAGCATTATCCCGATGAGTTTGGTGAATTGAAGCTTCGAGATCTTAGTCGCCAACTTGACACTTTCATATGGCATATGCAACATGGTGACCCTAGGTTCTCTGATTTGAAAGGAATTGGTGATTTGGCGAAAGCATTGGTTGAAACAAATCTTGTGGAGACTTATTCACTTATTTATTTGTTTGTGAAGTTGACTTTAATTTTACCTGTCGCAACTGCAACGGTGGAAAGAGCATTCTCATCTATGAAGTACATCAAAGATGAACTGCGTAGTAGTATTGGTGATGCATTTCTAAATGAAAGTTTAGTTTGTTACTTTGAGAAGGAAGTGTTTGTAAATATAAGCAATGATGCTATTATTGACCGTTTTCAAAATATGAAAACGCGTCGAGTTCAACTATGAGTGGACAATACACTTTTGTTATATTAGTATCAAGTTAATGGTATTTGATAATATTGTTGTTTTTATTTTGATGATAAATCATCATAGTCATTTCAAAGAGTTACACCCGAACTTTATTGTTGGTGATTGGCATACTAAAAATAATGGTGCCCTCGTAACGCTTAAATCCTGGATCCGCCTCTGGTTGTGCTCGTTTTTCTTATGCTTCGACGTCGTTTCTTCAAGCATAAATGATATCATATTGAACAAATGAGCTCCGATTATTGTTTTGAATGAATCATTAGATCTGTATCGTAATTACGGACCCGTAGCAAAAAGAATCGTCGAATTTGGACATCGTATGAGGATTTTATGGCCATTTTACCAAGGTTGACCAGATTTTCAGGTTAATGACGAAATTGCCCCTGACGACGTATTAAAAACCTGCAAATCTTAAAACCTACATCTCTCCTTCATTATAAGGTCAAATTGAGTGATTCAAAAGCCTAAATTCATTAGAATTTCACAAGGAATCCATTGGGAGCAGTAAAACGCGTGATTAGTATACCTATAATGAGCAGGTCGAGTTTTCTTCCAATTTTTGAACAGGAAGAAGCTTCTGAGGCAATTTTTAAGAGAGAAAATCAGTGGGTATCACAGAGGTAAGTGATTTGATTATTAAAACTCGTTTATGGGTGATTATAGACCATAATCTCAGCCTTTAATTCATGAAAAACAGTAGAAAAATAGGATTTTGGGGCCTGAGATTATGAGACCTTCAGGGGTCGATTTGAGGGATCAAACGGACTCCGATTTTGGTGTTCTTTATATGTACGGAATCGGGAGAAGATGAAGAACACTTTTCTATAAAAATTTCTGAGTTTCGAGAAGTGGGCCCGGTGCTCGGGTTTTGTCAATTTCGGGATTATTGATATTTTTCGATTATTTTCGATTGGGTATTGATCCTATAGCATAATGTGACGTATTCGTTGTGGTTTTGGTCAGATTCCACGTGCGAGGAGGTCGATTTGAGAGGCAAGGGCATAGCGAGCTAGGATTTTGGCCGGCTTGAGGTTAGTAATAGATGTAAATGCTGTGTTGAGGGTTTGAAACCCCGAATTTGCACATCGTAGTGCTATGTGAGGTGACTTGCACGCTGGATAACGGGCGTGGGGTAGAGCACCGTCGGGGATGGTGACTTGGTCCATCCCGCTTAATAAAATTACTACCTAATTGATTGAAGCTTAGTTGATATCCTTATAAAAATGGATTAATTGTCATAATTTGGCCTCGTGCCAACTGATTAAATCCTTCAGGGATTGCTCTTACTAGTTTCTTACCATTTTTTACATATAATTGAACTCAGTCCTAGTAATTGATACTGTTTTGCAAACTCAGCCACTTTTTCTCAAACATGGAACTTAAATAATATTTATAATGAAGTTTGGGCTGAATATTTATATATTATTGTGCCCGAGGGGCTTACATGATTCTAGACTGAGTATGGGATCGGGCTGCGCGCCGCAGCAGTATTATATTGATATTGATATGAGGCTTAGGGCCTAATGGATGCCATGAGATGGCTTGATATTGCGCTTGGACCGTAAGGGGGCCCTCCCGGAGTCTGCACACCCCCAGTGAGCGCCGTCGACGATAAATAAATGGAGCGGGCTGCATGCCGCAGTGGGTACTAGAGAGTACCGTACTATTTGTTGCATTTCTTAATTGATTGTCATTCATTTACTTATCTGTTGCAGCATCATTGTTTTCATTGGTTTATTGAGTTGATATTATCTGGATTAAACTGCTGTAATTATAGCTTACATTGTGCCTATCCAGGATTTCTTACTCTCAACCCTTATTTATGTTTATTACTCTCTGGGTTGGAAGTACTCACATTACTCCCTGCACCTTGTGTGCAGATCTAGGTGCAACCACTGAGGCTGAGTGAGGATTTCTCTACCAAGCATCATATCTAGGAACATCAAGGTAGCTGCATGACGTCCGCAGTCCTGATCTTCCCATCTAACCTATTTGCTTTATTTTTGCATTTCTTTAGAGGAATATGTAGTAGGTTGACACCCGTTCATTAGAGGCTCAGACTTGTGACACCGGATTCTTCGGGCTGTGTAGTAGTATTTCTACTTGGGTTTTCCGCATGTTTTAACTATATTTCAGAGTTTCAGTATCATGACTTAGTAATTATTTGTGTTAATTGAATCATGAGCTGTATAAAAAGGGTTAAGGTTGTTGAATTGGTCGGGCTTGCCTAGCAGTGTGTTGGGGGCCATCACGATCGGGGTTGGGGTCGTGACAAGTTGGTATCAGAGCCTAGGTTACTTGGTCTCGCGAGTCATGAGCCGGTTTAGTGGAGTCTCGTGGATCGGTACGGAGACGTCTGTACTTATCCTCGAGAGGCTGCAGAACCTTTTGGAAAACTTCACATTCTTGAATTCTTATCGTGCGTCCTTGATTCAGCTTGGAAAGAAACTCTTGAAATTCCTTCTACGTGTTCGTACGCGCGCGTGAGCGCTCAGTATCAGATGTGCCTTGATGGCTTGTTATTCCACAATCGAGAGGCGAGATGTAATCTCTGTGAGTTTATGTTGCGGTATGAGTTCAGACTCAGGAAGACTAAGCGACTGCGTACAGTTTAGGACGGTGGAGGGTATACAAAAATGGTAGTTGGAGGCAAAGCAGGTGGGTCATCTCCTGCGGAGTGTTCTAAAGTTGTGTGATCCTTATGTTATCTATTAGAAGATCTCATTTACAAGTGAAGAAAATGTGTTGACATCTAAATTGGATCGCCTAGAGAGTGGGCTTAACTGTTGTGTGAGTGAAAGCGAGATTTGCAGAAGAGTTAAAAAAAAATTCTAGATGATTTGTGTTTCCACAAGCTTATGAAGGATTGAGTTTAATCTCACTATGGTATTAAGGCAGTAATGGAGTATGTGCATTATGAGTTGTTGGGAGTGTTTTGATCTATGGCTTCGAGCCAAGTTGGGGAGTTTGCTATTGATTAGCTAATTGTACGGTTATGTGCTATGTTGGTTCCGGTTTGAGGCATGCTGGCGAATCAGTTCTGGTTGCGGAAATTGAGCCGAGGATGGCACGAGTGAAGCAAAATTTTGACAAAGGTTATATGGTGCCTCGTAGATGTGTGAGAATCACATGATGTCTTAAGCTGTTGTTGGTAAAGAATGCTCGGTGCATGGAGCAGGAAGATGTTTGTTTATATTGGGATAAGGTCATATCCTGCGGTGTCAGAGTGCTAATGAGGCACAAGTGGTTATGTTCGTTTGATCAGGTGAATTGCAGTTTGAATAAGAAATAAATGACTCTCAAGAATGGTTTTAATGTGTTCAAGATTCTACATGTAACAATCAGGTGTCTTATGGTTGTGTATGTGGTTAGAGACTGTGTTTTCATTGGAAAAGGTCAAGACTTGTGGTATTTTTATGTTAATTATGGGATTCTATGTATCAGAATCTGGAAAGTAAAGGTAACGGGTTTAGATTCGCAGGAAGTTCTTCAGAGTAAAGTATTTTGGAATGTGGTGTTTCTGGGAATATTTGAGAGAGGATTCATTGGCTTATGGGTCTTAGACAGTGTGGTCTTGTTCTTGGGTCTCGTGTAGTGAGCCTGGGTTGAGGAACTGTGGTGCTAGAGCAAGGGGGAATATCAAGTTGATGATGAATCAGAAGGGAAATTAGATAGATGGAATAGCTTGATAGTAGACCGAATCGGTATGGTAAGGATATGATTAATTCTTCGTATGTGTTCGAGGTAATGAGCCCTTACAAGTATTTTGCAGCAATGCTCTTGGGTTTTGATGGCTTGCTTAGCTTGGTCGAGTTAGAAGGATTCCGTCCTGGCAGTTTAATTTATGCAAACGGAATTGAGAGAGTTCTTGTTGATTTCTACCGTGGTTGAAGAAGTGTATTTTCTACGAATATGTGAGACATGGAATGTGTAATGATTTTTCTTCTAGATGGGATCAATGGAAGTTCTTGACTAGTTGAGTGCGTAGATGTCTGTGGCTCGGAAGGGGGATAAAAGTTTTCCTGCTATCCTTGGATGGTATGGTATATGCGGTATGTTGTGGAGGATCGAGATATGCGTGTACGAGGTTTCAGTTCAGTTCTGAAAAGAAGTTCATAAAACTCTTAGGCAACGGGTAGCCTCAGATAATTAAGGAAATCGTGCTGCTAATTGGAAGTGATTTGACGAGAGTATGTGTCTTAGAAAAAGGGTAATGTGATTAAACTGATGATACTTCGGTAGTATTGCGGCATTTTCTGTTGGATCAACTGGTGGTATTCGGGTTTGCTTGGTGGCACAGGAAATTTTAGAGTATCTATCATGGAGTGATGGGGTATTTAAGGTGGGGTATGCGTTCGGATGGCAAAAAAAAATTGGGATCAGGTATGATGATTCGTGTGCTATATGGAGTTGGAGACTGGGAGTTCTCATGTACAGGCTATGTCGTGGTTATGGATCGTGTGTATTCGGCACCGTTTAGCGGCAATCGGGATTTGGAGGCTCGAGTGGATCTTTATTTACTGGTATGTTAGATTTTGGATGTGATGTTGAAACTCAGACTGGCTGTCTTAGTGTTAGGTGATGCTGAACTATTGCGCTGCGGGCTATGCCGGAAATGCCACGGTTTGAGTGGCGAGGTGCATTGGATTATGTTCTTGCAGAGTGGATTATATTTCAAAGACCCAGCGGACGGCTGGGAAGGATTGCTTTTCTTAATTGGGCCTTCGTGATGGATGTCAGTGCAGAGGTTCCTACCATTGGTTCCGTTCCGGTGTTAAGGGACTTTTCGGATGCGTTTCTTGTGGCCGGGCATGTCGCCGGGCGAGGTTGTGGATTTCGATATTGTTTTGGTGTCGGGCACCGTATCGTACGGCTCCGGCAGGAGTTATAGTAGTGGAAGGAGCAGCTTCAGGCTTTCTTGGTAATGAGTTCGTTGGTAGGCCGATATGGATACGTGTTTAGCTTGAGTTGGCTTGGTT